AAGAAGAAGAAGAAGAAGAAGAAGAAGAAGAAGAAGAAGAAGAAGAAATAGTTCCACATAATTCTGCAGCAGTCAGAATCCTATCCCTTCCATAACAAGCCCTTCAAAAATTTTAAGCCAGTGGGTCTTTCTGTTTTTGAAAGTCTCAGAATAATGTTTGTTATATAGTATTTTTGCAGGGCAATGAAAGAAACAACAAAATGAGCCAATGGAATGTAGTCCTTTCTATTTTTCCTCTTTTATTTGAAATGCCAGTGAAGAAGAAAACAAATATCCTAGTGATTGCTCTTTAACACAATCTGGAAATAAACACATGTACACTGTGTGTAGAGCAATCAAACTTCATTAAATCAAGCCTAGACATTCCTGAAGCTCTTAACCAACAATATTTCACTCCTAGGAGCCTAAAAAACAGCTCTTGTTGGCTCAACTGATAAGCAAAAAATAAATGATCTTTTCCTAAATACACTACATTTCTTGACTAATTGTTAAATGAGCTGTTTACTGTTGTAATGTGAAGATGCGCAAACAGGAATCAATAATTCATTCATCACACTAATAAAGAAAATGTAGTGGCTTAGACGATGAGCTTATAGTAAAACCAGATTAACTGAAGGATAAAGAAAACACAGTTGAAATGTTAAGATTTGTCTGCCCTTTTTATTTTCATTCTTGGTTTTTTGTTATTTTTTAGAACTGAGGAATTAGAGCACCTATGAAATTGGATTTACTCGAAAAGTTCAATCCTTCTCATTTAATTCAGTGTAAGATAAATGACATTCAGGTTTTTCTTTAAAAGATAATATTAATATATGCCAGTTATAATACAAATATAGGCCAAGCATGTCATATCAGGTATAAAGCAGTGTTCTCTGACCTACATAAGCCTCCTGTGAACCATATAGGAAACACAAGGTGAACAAATTCTACTTTATTTTAAAACTATATTAACAAAACCTTGCAAGAGATCTGAAGGCACTAACTTCCTGCCTCCACTTTTAACTGTTTGATCTATTAGGGTGAGCGCTTCCTAAGTTTCTTTCTTTGACTCTTAAGCAACCGAGGACTCGTACCTCTCTTGTCTGATTGTTTTCTCTTCCACCCTTTATGCAAGGTCATTGATGCATTCTGTTACAGTCATTGACTAATATTCACTTTAGTGATAAAAAGTGATGTACTACGGACAAGTAAAAAAGAGAGAGACACACACAGAGAGAAGGTAGTCCTTGGGTTATGATGGCAATTGGGATCAGAATTCCCACAGGTAAGCAACATGGTTGTAAAGCCCAATATCATATTATGACATTGCTCAGCCATAGCAAGCAGTCCCAGTTGCCATGGTTAAGCGAGGACGCTACGGGCTAAGCAAGGATCTTATGCAATCACAACGTATGCTTTCCCAACAGCTTCCCTTTGTGATTGCAACTTGCTGCAACAGTATAATTGCAATCAGCACCTGGCTCAGAGTCACATGACTGCAGGGATAGCGTGATAGTGGGAATTACAAGGACCGTCTAAGTGTCATTTGTTTCAGCCCTTTCATAACTGAACGGTTGTTGAACAAATTATGGTAGCTGGGAAAATTATATGTATGGTTGGAGAGATTGGGAAAATGCATGACGATACTTCAAGAAAAGCTCCACATTCTGAAGTGTAAGAGGAGAAGGCCAAAGAACACAAGGCAGACCCAAAAGAAGATGGAGACACAAAAATAAAGACACACTACAACATCAATTAACAATTGGTTGAGGCCACCAGAAGAGAAAGAGCCAGCACTTTGTATCTTCCTTAACACCTGAAATGATAAAAGAGGAAGTGAAGAAGAAGTTAAGAGGAATGATTCATTTAAGAAATGATAGTTTACAGTGGAAAAATCTGTTGCCTTTTCTAGTCCAGTGAAATCTGCAACATTACAATGGGAATATTTTTGAACATTGAAATCACATGGCTGATGCTGTTCATAGAATATCTAGTATGATTAAAAAAAACCCAGAAAATATAGCCACCGTAAAATATAAAACAATTATTAAAAGGCAAATTGATATATTTTCGCAATGTGCTAGTATCCAACTTATAATTGCCCTTTTTCTCTAGACAATCATATGCCATACAAAAACATATTTATTTTCTTGGGATATTTTTTATAAGTGTAAGGCTGTAAGTGGAGGCATAGTTTGAACTATGGTAGTACTTGCTTACTAATTGCCTCATGCTGCAACTATTCAAAGGTTTGGTACTAAAAGAACCCTCTGCAATCAATCTTCACCTTTACAGGAGTCACAGCGTCCAGCAGTCATGAGATAGTCATTTGTGAGCTTCATAACAGGCACACATTTATGACGGTTGATCATGTGATTGCCATTCACATACTTTGCAACCACCTTGCAACAAAGCACCTGTGCTTAGTGACTGAATTGGCAGTCCCAATTGTTGCTAGACTACCTAGTTGATTGCTCTGTGTCCGGGGTGTCAAGCTTGCATCGTCACGGCAGTGTCACGTGACATATCAGGACTTTCCCCCGCTTTGCTAAACCAGGCGGGGGCAGGGCCAGCATGTGAGGCATCCGGCCCGTGGGCCACGAGTTTGACACCCCTACTCTATGTCGAGTCTTTGCTTCATAATGTAGCAGCTCCAATATTTTCAGTAAAAAGTTACTAATGTCAGGCGGAATCTGTTTGCTAAAGGAGATAGTTTGGATTTCGCACATTGTCCTGGAGTGACCCTTGGCAGACAACGCATTGCACACAACCCCAAGAATATGAGATCACACCGATGTAATTTGGAGGCAAGATGACATGCCATAATTATTCTTAGGATGTGACTTCATAAATAAGGAAGGGTATTGAACCAGAAGGCCAATCTCTCCTATTTCCATACTGCTTACTTCCTACCCTAAATAATGTGAAATCATGCTACAATAATTTGGGTTTTTTTTGCCACTCAGTTTGAACGGATGTGATTTCAGCTTGTGTGGGGGAGCGTACGTGGAATTGAGGACAGTTATGAAAGTGGGTTGCCACCTCCTTGAAAATGAAAACAATGAGGAAAGGGGAGAAAAAAATTGGAGAGAGATTATAGTCCATTGGAAAACTAGTTAGCTAATACTTTCCAATTTAATGGAGTCAGAGTCCCAGGATTGTCATGTAGGGTCTAATATTGTCACAGTAATTATTGTGAAATTTGTGACATTAGAATTGGGATCCAATACTTTGGAGGCCGTACATATGAAATGTTCTACTGAAATGCTAGGTCAGATACTTGCAATGTTTATGGAAATATATTCAACATGTATGGTACTTGGTTATCTTTGTTTTGTGATTCTTTAAATCTATGAAACTAAAGCTGTGTAAGATCAAAAAAAAAG